CCTTCTCAGACCCCCCCCCCCAAGGAAAGCCCCTGCCCCGCCATTCATGGCCCCGGAGCTGGCCCTGCCCGTGGGCTAGAGGCGCCCGGGCCCTGCCCCTGGCGTATGCCCAGGCGTGGCCGCATCTGCTTTCATAGGTGCCGCCTACGCCCAGAAAAGCGGAGGCGAGCAAGGAGCCAGGTGACGGGCTGGCAGCGCCTTCGGGGCAGGGGTCCCAACGTAGCGGTGACAGGAAAGCGTTCTCAGGCTCGCCCGGGCGGCCTTCGGGCTCCTGCCCGCTTCTCTTTGATGGAGGCCTAGGGAGAGAGTGCGGGGCCCAGCCTGGAATGTGCCTTGCAGCTATAGGAACCCGCAAGCCAAGTCCTGTCGTCTTTGACCACTAGACCTTTCGAGTGGCGATGGGATGTGACATGCTGGGGTTGTGGTCTTTGCTAAACTCATTACACGGTGCGGGCTTCTCTGCCGAAGATGTCTGCCCTCTGGTTTCACTTATTGTTAGAACAACATTTGACCTTCTGATGGCCAGTTGAGCGAGGTATGAGTGTTGCACAGTAAATACAGTTTTATGTCTTAACCCACCATTGTAACTTACTTTTGGCGATGGCTGAACTCTATTTTTAATTTCTAGGGTTAAAACATTTAGGACTATACATTCCCTTCAATCCATAGCAATTGCGGTGTCATTTCACTTTTGTCTCAAGTATCAATGGTTGAGGTGTGCACTGTTTGTGCAGGAAAAATGGCCTGGATGCAGTAACAATAACTAAAAATTTAAACTTGCAGGCTAACTTTTTACACTAGGTAAATGTTCACCTTTAGGACCAACATTATTTCTACCCTTTATAGAGTACATTTCCACACTTTTCTTCTTTGAGACATCGTATAGTCTCTTGTTTATAACCCTCTTCCCATCTTCCATTTTCCTTCCTATGAAACAGCTCTCAATTTTCATATGTTCATGAACTACATCACCACTGGCTCATCTAATTAAGTGACCACCAGTAAAATAATTAATGTTTATTTTTGTGTCAGCATTTTTCCCTGTAATTCATATTCCAGTTAGATTAATTGCGGAGGGGCAATTTGTACTGAATGTCCACAGACTTGCGGAATTATCACTTTGTAGTTAGGTTAACTTTATAACCATGATGTCTAGAATGTCTTTTTTTTTAAATTTTTTTTTAATGTTCCAATAGATTCTGAATACAACCCCTGCACTTACAACCTAATTGGTTCCTGGAGAACCGTCGTAAGTCGAACCCTTATTTCCCATTGGTGCAATGTTATAAATGATGGGTCCGTTCCTGGAAACCTATTTCATACCCTAAAAATACCAAAATTGTCTATGGAAATGAAGGAAAACTAAACTAAATAGTTCAAATAATGCACAAAAATAACTAAAGTGAAGTCCGATGTGGTGGAGACACGCACAGTTCAAGCATCAGCTGCAGACTGGTGGGTCTGATTGACTTTGTGCATTTCCTGTTTTGGGCTGATGCGTGGAGTCTGCATCATACGCCATTGTAAATGAGAGCTGCGGACATAAATTGGGAGGTTTTAGGAGCTATTTCGCATGGGAAAAAATGGTTGTAAATGCAGGGGGGTTGTAAGTTGGGTAATCATGAGTCCGGGGTCGCCTGTACACATGCAGGCCATCTAAACACTTGAGGATCATTAGATCCAACATTGAGGCTGGGTGTTTGACATCTCTGACTTAACTGCAGTGCCCTTAGGCAGTGGGGAAGTCACTCCATTTCCATAATCCAGCAGTGACAGGTGATGGGAAGGCCACTCCAGCCCAGATAGACTGAAGCAGGCCCACTAGTCCCTGTTTGTTTAAACAAGATTTTACATATTTAGCTTCTCCACAATAGCTTTGTCTTCAGATCACTTAAATGTAGTGACATTTCCTTTTGTGTATGTCAGTTTGAACCAAACTATTTGAAACACATTGTCCAGTGCACAATGTTCCATCTTAGCCCTAACTCATTTTCTTATAAAAAATTTCCTTTGGATTAAGTGTACAGGCATGTTCTTCCTCTTTGAATCTAAGTCCGAGGCACCTCCCTTAAAATATTTTCTTAGCTATATGAAAAATTGTATGGATTTCACAAACATCTTTTTTTCTCCGGTGTGCTTACCAGTTTAGGCTGTATTCTTCTGAAGTGAAGTTTCTGCCATTCTATGGTCTCCACAAAAGAAACAGTAAAACCTATTTTGTCTGCAAGAGTGGGTTGTGTCCACACAAGCTCATGTTACCATCTACGTTTTTTGGTTAGTTTCTGAGGTGCTGCAGAACTATTGTGTTTGGTTGTTGTGTTTTGTTTTGTTTTTTTTAACCAGCAGTTGATTAGTACTAAAATGAAACTAAGTTGGAACTAAGCATTAGTATGATGCAGTGGCAGATGCATAACTTGGTAAGGTACTTGGAAGGAAGGCCATGCAATTAAGATGGAAATTTGAGAGGCCACTAGAATAGTTTCTGGTCCTGCACAGACCTCTGAGACTCCTTTACCACACAATCCTGTTCCCTCAAGCTAGTGTAGAAAATGGTTTCTAGACAGTGCTCTTTTGTGTTACCATTCTGCTTATGGCCTTCAGTGCACAAGTGTAACTACATTTATGTGTACTGAGGGCTGTGCCCCCTCTCGCTACTCTTACTAACTCCTAAGCTCTGGGAAGGGGGGAGACTGTTCAGCTGAGGGCAGAGGGGGTGGTGGGATGCAGAGGGACATGATGACACAGGAAAATGTTTATATATATATATATATATAGAGAGAGAGAGAGAGAGAGAGAGAGATCTGCTGAAGAAGTCGTCATATTGTTTATTTAGCTTATGATTCCAATAGATAAATTATTTTGTGTGACTATTAAACAATTATAAGCTAAGTGGAACAAATATTAACAGAGAACTATTTGATTAATCAAAGAAGAAAGATGCATCTTTTTCATGGAGTTCATGGATTTCCCTTTCATATGGCTAAATTTAGTGACTTGCACAGTGACAAGTATAAGATGCATAGCCATGGTATATTTAGACAGAATTTTACATCCCTTATCAGGAGAGTAACAAACTTGGGTACTACTTGGTTCATCAAGAGATAGTTGCCCCAGGATATTGGTGTTCTCCTTCCATTCTTTAAAAGGTGACATAGGATTTTTAATTTCCATTAGATGTTAACTGAGAAGACTGATGAATTGTTTGCAATAGAGCAGCACATCCAACTGCCCTTCATTACTGTAATACCAATCATGGCTACTATACATCTTTTCTGATTGTGGAACTTAAAATGCTGAAGTTCTGATTCTGATGAGTAGAGTTATTTTATGGAATATAAATATAGTCAGCTGTCTCTAAATTTCTCTGTGGTCCCTAATTTATTGTGTGCTGTTTTACTATAACTTGGCTTAATGAATTAAATTTGGGAATGGTACTTTGGATTTCATTTGTCTTGAGTTTGTTGATCTAGCACTAAATAGGACTGATAAATAGGAAATAGTAAGGTCAAATCTGAATCATTTGATCAGTTTTCCGTTCATTCTGGAGAAGAAATAACAGAAAAAACAATTTGGCTATAAGCAAAGATGGGAATGAGCAGATGTCTGAGAATCCTGTGATCTCAAATTTTAAACTTAGTTCTAGCAGTGACTCTCTGTGTAATAAGTTACTTAGCACCTCTAAACTAGTTTCTCCATTTGTAAAATGCAAGTAATACTACTCTGAATCACAGGATGTTTAGGAGAAATAATGAGATATTTTCAGTGATTCCATATGCCTTATGTAAGGGTGAAGTATTATGGTTAGAGAAGGTAAGTATGTATTTTTTGAATGATAGCAAGTAATTCATTGAAGTGTAAAACATTTAGAAGGTCGTGGAAAATTAATTTTAAGGTTATATGAGCTAATGACATTAATTTTACAGTGGCTAAGAGATAATGCAATCATGTTCCGAGTGTTGCTTTGAACTGGGTACATTTCTGTCCTCACTTGATGGGATTGTAGAGAACAAAAACAAATGTTAAGGTATAAGATTTATTTTCATTATTCTTTCAGGGATTGTGTTTCTAAGGCTTTATGCAGAGGAAGCCTTGGTGGCTAAGGCCAGATCTACTCTAGGAAGTTTTGTCAGCATAACTATATCAGTCACACGTGAAAAAAACACACCCTCTAGCCAACTTAGCTGTGCCCATATAACTGCCACTGTAGATGCAGTTATGTCAGCAGAAGATTGCTTCTGTCAGAATAGTTAATGTTGTTTGATGAGGTGGTATTAATATGTCAAAAGCAACTCCTGTCAGCATACTGAGTGTATGCTAAGGGCTTGCAAACCATCATAGTCTTGCATCACCTGTCCTACAACTGAGGCCCCTCCCACACTACGAACAGCTTCCCCTCTTTCCCCCCCAGCCCTTCCATAACATGAATTTTGTTTGATGTGCCAATATCACCTCCATAGTGGTGCATTAGAGGGAACAACACTGCTGGGCCTCCCATGGTGCCATTTCCCTCACAGAATGGCTCCATTGAATCTCATTAATGAGGCACTTCCCTGTGTCCTCTGCAGAAAAAACAAGTTGGAGTTGCTGATTATCTAGTCCAGGTGAGTCCTAAAGGACTGGAGAGAAGATGATGTGACTCTTCCTCACCATATCCAGTTCCTACCTCATTCCTGTGTATGATGCCCAGTCTCATCTATAGGCCTGTGTAGCAGCCAGGAGGGTGGACAGTGTTGAAGAGAAGTCTGTCCCCTTTCCATGCAAGAGGGGGTAAGTCTCTTCTGATTTTATTGGGTACTATGTGGGGCTGATAGTTCTAGCTGATTGCCCATTTTATGAACTGCATTCCTTTGTGATTTAATCATTAAGATATTAAAATGTAAATGTTTGGACACTTGGCATTGTTTTTATATTTTGCTATCTTGGACTCCTGTATATCAATGCATACTAATTAAGTCTTAATGGGTATAGAATAGTGAAAGTTTTATGAACTTTTCTAGTGACGCAATTTGCAAATTTTTTTTTTTTGTACAGGTGCCCTCCCAAATTCCATCAGGATGCTATTGTTTTATTCCGTATATGTTTTTATGATATGAAGACTATAACTCTGTTGTAGAAGAGGGATTATTTCAAAGGGCTCAATCCATTTATGTCAACAGGAGTGATCCTACTAATTTAAAGCAGGCACATTCCAAATGCAGCTTTTAATTATTGCAGTTATAAACAGAACATATTTCAGAATAATATGTTTTCCATTAGAATGTATTTTAAAACTGCTCAGTATTTTAAAATCTTGAAGTTTGTGCATAGAAATAATATTAAAATGCAATATTACTGTAGATTGTGCTAGAAAAGTGCAAGTAAGATGACAGTGCTATCGGAACAGTGGAAATTAGTTTATTACAATGAAATTGCTGGTGGAGGGAGAGGAAATGACACCCTAGAGATTACTTGGATTTGTGCATTTCTGCTGACAAAGTTTATAGGCCTGTAAATTTAAACGTAGAATTTTTGTAGGCAGAATGCATTGACAAATATGCCTAATGGTAATACATCTAGTACTGAGTGTCTCAGAACAGGTCAATAATAATGCTTATATTGATAGCAGCAGTGTAGGAGATGTTACTTGGTATTATAGCTAAAATCCATGTTATCCCCTTAATCATAATTACATTAATATTGACAGGCCCTTGACAATACTCACATTACTATTGATAGATTTCTGTCAATAATATGTTTCTAAATAAAATATATTCATTCATAATTTGTACAATGCTCAATAACAGCACTAAAATCTACCTGGAGAAATTCCTATTTTCTTTGTGATATATAATAATTTGTTTTGGAATGCACTGTACAAAAGTGATTCTCATTTTTTTAACTAAAAAAAGGCAAAAGCATTGGTTCATTTAAGGAAAGCAATTATTGGAAAACTGATTATTTTCAGACTTTTTTCTGTGAAACAAAAGCAGTTGGATGTGTGGGGATAAAATGTCAGCAGAAGATCTTAAATAAGTTTTGTCTTACATAAATATGTTTAACAACATAATCATACTGATTTTAGTAGAATATATTATACTATTTATCTATTCTTGATTTTTGACTTACCATTCCCTTCACATATCCCTAGCCTGACATACTTAAACGAAACACTGATGTTTGTGTGTGTTTGTTATTGTGTATATAATTCTGGTCCCTTTACTAGTTTAAAATGATCTAAAGCAAGGTTATGAATAGAAAATAACAAGCACTGGGGACAAGAGGAAATGGAAGCTAATTAGATGGTGTGGAGAAAAACAAGATTCTTGGTGAGATCTGTGTAAAACAGAAGAATACGAAATGAAGAACTGCAGTGAAAAAATATAAGCTGAAAGATGCTTGTAGGCTGTGCATTTATTTATTTATTTATTGGGATAGACAACAGGGTGCATACTTTTTTCCAAAGGTAGAGCCAGTATCTGTGAAAACAATACAAAGTGCAAGCATAACAAAGCATTGAAATAACTGTTGTTGGGGAAGTAATCAAAGGAGACCCTTTTTTGTTTGTTTTTTGTGTTTTTGTTAGCACTGTGTACAAATAAAAGTAGATAAAAACAGAATAAAATAAGAAACCACCATTGCAACAAAATAGGAAGTCAGTGAAGTGGAGGCTTGTTATTTTAATAAAAGTTAGCCACTAAACCATTGTGATTGTCATGCATATTTATCATTCACATGTGAATAGGAATTTCAAATTTTAGACTTTAATGTTCACACATTGGTAACATTGAAATCAATGTGATCAACTTCAGAATCTTGTCTTTTTATATACATTCTGAATGTCCAAACAACATGTGCAGGCTTCTTCAACAGGCTTCTTCAACACCACAGTGGGCAAAAGGCATCTAGCAGTACAGATCCAGCCAGTCAAGCTTCTAGATCTGGCCCACAGCCACCTCAATGGCACCCTTGCTACAGAGTAGTTCATGCTGTTTTAAACCGTTGTTTGCTATTTGCTCTGCAGGATGAGGAAGGACAGAAGAATTCACATTCTGTCCCCGTCCCCAGCAAAATCCTTCAGCTACCATTGGCCAGTTTCTGGCCAGTAGGAGCTGAGAGATTTTGCTGGAGGCAGGGACATAGTGAAGCCTCCTTCCTCCTCTCCATTACTGGAGCAGAGCCACATGGAGCAGACAGGCATGGACCCTGTGTCAGGTTTCTACTGGGCTGCTGGCTGGGAGCCACTTAGGTAAGTGTCTCCTAGCCAGAGCTAGCCTTTGGCATACCATTTACATTTCCCCCTCCCTCAACATCCTGCTTCAAACCCTTTCTATCCCCTATGACTATGCAGCACTTTAGTTTCAGCAAGACCAGACTAACATGGCTCCATCTCTATTACTATTCTATTTTTAGTGTGCTAGTTTGATCAGCGCTAATAAAGGAATGTCTCCTCTTGAGGATTAGCAATATTTGTAGGCACCAAGAAAAGCTTTGCATACCAACATCTTGATTTTTTTTTTATGGTCTCCTTTAATATTGTTTATCTCAAGCACACATGGAAAAACTAACTGCATCTACTGCAAGACTTCTCTGCAGCGTGTTCCTTGCAATAGGACCAATACTAAGTCTACACTGCCACTTTACTGTGCTGCAACTTTCTGGCTCAGGCCTGTGAAAAACACACCTCCTCCCCAAGCACAGCAAGTTAGCCCTTTGTCTCATAGAGGTGGTTTACCTAAAGTTCTGGGAAAGCTCTTTGCCAATGCTGTAGCTGTGACTACACTGCTACTTTGAAGTATAGACAAAGCATCTGTGCTTCTGGGAAGATTGATGCTCTGGAGGGAAGATTGATGCCTTCCGATTTAGCAGGTCTAGTAAGGACCCACTAGATCGAATGCTGAGGGCACTCCCATAGACCACAGAACTCCTTGCAGTTTCAAGAGTAAGGAAGGTTGACAGGTGAGTTTCTCACATCAACCTCCCTCTGTGGGGCCACCCCAGAAAATCGATTGAATGATACATCAAAGCCAGTTATGCAATTCATGTAGCTGGAGTTGCATATCTTGCATCAGTTTTCTCTGCCAGCGTAGACCTGGCCTTATTCTCCTAGTCAGTACAGGAAAGAATACTGCTCTACACTTTTATAATTTGGACATTAAATTGCAAATGTAGTTCACTTTTAAAGATTTTGAAACTTCTATTTTTGCTAATATTTCTCCCACCACCACTAGTACCAGCAACTCCTTTCCCCCTTCCTCCACCTCCTCTTTCCCCTCCCTCCGCCCACATACACCTGGGCTATGTGGTTATTTGAGCCCAAGGAGAATTCATTCACCTCTTTACATTCTCTGTTATGGTAACTTTCTCTCTTAACAAATAAGGACTGGAAACAGCTTCCTCTTGAATTGGTAAATTCCATTTCAGGCTCTGGAGAGACTCACTCTATTACTATCCCACTTTTCTAAATCAGTTCAACATGCTACCTCCACAGTGCGATTAAATTCTAATGGTGTGTTTTGTGAGCAATCCAGCTTAAAATGCCAGATCTGTGGCAGCAACCTGTACGCATACTAGATCACTACTCCTCGTAGCAGTTCATTTTTATTTGTTGTAGTGATTCTCTTAACTAAGAGACATCAGGTACCCAACAATGAAATCCTGCATTACTAAGACCATGTTATACCATGACTTTTATTCACGATTCCTTTGATGCCCTTGCATTGTATACTACTGTATTCCCCCTCCACAGAATTGTTAATATCACATATGCACCAATTATTTTAAAGATAACTTTATTTTTCATTCTAGTACTCAGGCAGGAAGAGAGTACACATTAGTTGATGTTACCAGCATACATTAATCATCTTGCCAGAAAAATTGCTATACAGCTGGTAGCAAAACCCTGCACCTGTCAAAAGAGATTAGAAAATACATGCAGGCATCACTGATGTATTGTAAGATAATTTATGTGGGAGTGCTGAATATTTATTTGATCTTTTTAGCATTTTAAAACATATCTCTGTCTTTGTTTTAAATGCTTTATCATCCAACTTGTTTATATTCCATATTTCTTTTGTGCATAATTCTGAGCTCTGCTAATATCTTCTATGTTACATGGTTTATCTGCAATTTATGATGATTTGATATGGAAAGGTTTATCTTTACTCTTTTCTCCCAAGATTTTAATTGCTATACATACTTGTCACATTAAGTTCCATAAACCAGCATACTCTTTTACAATTACTGTGTTGCTAATCTTCCTCTTCTTTTTAGTATTTGACCACTCTTCCAGCATCAGGCAATGCATTAAATCTTAGAGTGAAGCTCTTAATGTGTGATTAGTAACACACAACTCAAGAAAGATACAGCTGTATTAATGTGAAGGGACAATAGTGAAGTTTAAGTATATAATAGTGAAGAGGAAAGTTGTTAATATACTTCCCAGGTGCTGCTGATTGCAGTGTGTAATATTGTGTTACTATTGCCTAAAGAGATGTCTTCGTTGCTTAATCAGTTTTAGTATTCACAACTTTATATAAGATGTATTGAAAGACATACAAACAATGCAGAATGTTAAATTATACTATAAGCTTATCTGTATTTATTCCTAGAAAGTTGTAATGAAGACATGGCTTCCAATGGCAGTAATGCAGAGAGAGTGAACCCTGTGCTCAGAATAAGTCAGCTGGATGCTCTTGAACTAAACAAAGCCTTGGAGCAGCTAGTTTGGTCCCAGTTTTCCAGCTGTTTTCATGGATTTAAACCAGGACTATTGGCTCACATTGAGCCAGAAGTAAAGGCATTTTTATGGATTTTCTTGTGGAGATTCACCATCTATTCTAAGAATGCAACGGTGGGGCAGACTATTCTGAATATTCAGTACAAGAATGACTTATCTCACACACAGAAATATCAGCCATTGAGCAAACACCAGAAGTTATGGTATCTTATCTGCACTGTTGGAGGAAGGTGGTTGGAAGAAAGATGCTATGATTTATTCAGCAGTTTTCAACTAGAGTCATTCTACAGAACCAAGCATTTCATTAATTTTGTAGCTGGACTCTTAAAACTTTGTGGACTACTGAACTTTCTTATCTTCCTTCAAAAGGGAAAATTTGCAACACTAACAGAACGTATTTTAGGAATTAGATCTGTCTTTTGTAGGCCTCAAAATCTTCGTCAAATAGGATTTGAATACATTAACAGGGAACTCTTATGGCATGGCTTTGCTGAATTTCTAATCTATCTTCTACCACTTATTAACATGCAAAAGCTCAAACTTAAAATTTCCTCTTGGTCTCTACCTATTGCTGTTTTTTCCAAAAGTGAAAACTGTTTAGCAGTGCATTGCAAAGAATGTTCTGTATGTGGGGAGTGGCCAACTATGCCTCATACCATAGGCTGCTCACATGTTTTCTGCTATTATTGTATTAAAAGCAACTGCTTATTTGACATGTATTTTACCTGTCCTAAGTGTGGTACAGAGGTACACAATCTTCAGCCACTGAAATACAAGATTGAAATGACAGAAGTTCACACCCTCTAAAACTTGCAGAGCACTTGAAGCACATACTTTAGATCCATGTGTGGCTAGTTCTCTATAGCAGTAGTTGCTATAGTGTTTCAGAACTTGTGAACACCACGGCTTTAGAGCAAACTGTATAATACTCAAACCACTATTAAATTCTTTGTTTATAGCAGTTTGATCTTTCCCTGTCTTATGTCTGATACAATAAATCTGTATTAATATTAGTTTCCGTATACTAACACAAAATTATAACCAAGGATTCGTGGGACTATACTGTTGGTAGTTATTCACATATTTCTGCCTTTTATAAACACCGCAGGAGACATACCCTGTAAACTACTTTTGAGATAAGTGCTTCATTAGCATCTATAATCAAGTGGTGAAACCACCTAAAGAAAATTCAGTGCTGCATGGTAGACTATATCAGCAAAAACAAATTCACTTTCGCTACTGGGAATAGGCTTTAAAGTACCATGTTACCATTTGTAGCTGTTTCTGCTACATCACACCATTAATCCAGCATTAAGTTGCTTTACATGCATTGCAGTGAATCTGTTACCTGATGACTGTCCAAAACAAATGTATCTACCATTTTAGGGTACTAAAGTGGATATCATCCTAATCTAAGTCATAAGATACTTTGCATTTATATACCACAGGCATGAGCGTGGGTCTCTTTGTTTAGTTAATTCCATCATTCTACCAGACATTTACTGGTTATAATCAATTAGTGCAGCTCTGTATTAACAGGGCACCAAACTCTGAAGTTCTCACAAATAACAGGTGTCTTATGTGGGTGTGTTTTTTTTCCTGTAGCAATACTAGGTTTTATTTACTTTTTACTATGTAGTTAGGTGAAATCTTTGCTGTGTTGGAGTCAGTACAGCCATTGAGGCACCGAGAGTCCCTGTTTAAAAGTCATTTGCCATTGGTTTAATATTTTTAAGGGAGGAAATTTTGGGACTAAAACTTTAGTGTTTGGCAGCTTCTCTTTTAAAACTTTAATTTCTTATGTTTCAAACAGGATCAAAACTGCTGTTGCATTTTATGACAACACAAAATGTATGTCTTGCCTACAGATATGATCCAAAAATTCAGCTGATTTGTGATCTATACAACTATACTTGCCTTTGTTATGTTTAAAGAAACAAGTAGCCCTATAGCACTTTAGCCCTGGTCTGCATGTGGAAGTTTTTTGAAATAACCAGACCCTTATTTTGAAATAAGCAGAAAGTCCACGCTACCAAGCCCGTTATTTCAAAATAAGGGGTGGGTTATTTTGAAATAATTACTCTTGCTTTTCATGAGGAGTAACACTTATTTTAAAATAGCAGCAGTGGAGTATCCACACTACTGCTGTTTTGAAATAACTACTCAGTCATTCAAAGTAATTACTCCCTAGTGCTTCCTGGTGCTGTAAGCTGAGGTAGATCATCCACATTAATGGAGCTTGCCTTGTACTAATTTTGAGGCTTTCCCTTAATGTGGACTTGCTATGTAAAAATTACTATTTTGGGAGTTATTTCAAATTAACTTATTTTGAAATAATTTCCTAGTGTAGACATGGTCTGAGTTTTGCAGGGCTACTTATTTTTTCTTTAAAGTTACAGACTAACAAGGCTACCCCTCTGAGATTTTATGGTTATTCACTTATTGTATGGATCAAATCAGTGAGTATTCTACTCTAAAAGCTGATTTATAATAATTTTTAAAATAAATTATCTGCTGATACTTTCTATTACAACTTTCTCTGAATCCCTTATTTTTAGCATCAGTTTTTTGTTTTTATCTCTACCTTTTTGGGTAGATTTGTTTAACTGCAGTTAGAACAGTTATGTTGCCAGAGTCAGCCATGCAGCTATGGAATGAACTAATCTCTAAAACTTACACCAATTACAAGTACCTAGTAACTTCTAACAAAGCTCAGAAGAGTTCTGCTATCAGTTTTTATTACTAAATACAGCTTAGCTAGTTGGTACTCCTCATTGCAGGTCAGCAAGTCTTAATGCATTTCATTATATCAATGGGTTTGAAGACATACCTTCATTTTCAGACTCAAAGTGAAGAATGGTGATCTTGAGCTCAGGGGCCTCGCCCAAACCTCTATCAGCATAACAGTGCCTATATAGTTATTTTTAGTAGACTAGCTCAAACCCTGCTAAACACAAATCTGTCTACCCAGGCTGACGCACTCATTCTCAACTGCAGTGTATACATTCTTCACCTGTTACAGCTCTGGTCATGGTCACCCTGCTAAAGGCTCACCAGACCCCTGTGTTTGAATCCCAACATCAAACTCATGTGTTTCAAGAATTTTTTTGGTAAGTGTAAGCTCCAATTTTTATTTGACTTCCAGGCTCACTTTGGGCATAGATTCTGTATGATAATCTTTGCAACAAACACAGTCTCGGTAGTCTAACATTCTGACTCGTGAACAGTAGACAACCACAAGCCTCTAGGCCTAAGGTTGGGGGGGGGGGGGGGGGGGAGGAGAAGCTGCCACCCAGGAGTGAGGTTAGTAGAAGAAGCACCTAGACCCATCCACTCCATTGGGTCCCAGCCCAGGGTCCTAACAGTGGCAGGAGACCCTCACCACTGGGCCAGTGGGGATTCCACCAAAACTAATGAATCTGCTAGTCCTATGACCAGACTAAAATGTATTTCCCCTAGGCTATTTCTTATCCTGTCTTCTAATATAGCAGTCCATGGATCCTCTCAGTCTAGAGTTGTCTGCTGGTGAAGTCCACAGCCACTCAGTCCCTTCCCACTCTGACAAAGTTTATCGTGAGTGTTAAGTAGCACTAACTTCTGCTAACCTTCCCCTTAGTTCACTGGTTCTTACAAATCCCATATACAGGTTGCTGAAGACTCATATCTCTAGCAGTTACTATCCAAAGTGCCAAGAGAGAAAGCTTCCACAATTACTGAACACCAGGTACATAGTGCTCTTTTCCTACTCACACTCCTTACAGAAACAAATTCTGTAAACACCTATGCTGTTTCTTCACCCCCCACCCACCCCCATCACTTGTGCATCACTCGCAGCAGGGTTCTGCTGCCTTTAGAGCCAATTTCCTTACTCCTTGAAATAATTTCTTTCCCATTCCCTGCTAACCTGGGTAAAAAAAAATGTTATTTCTTTGCAGAATTGCCATGCTAACTGTTAAACCACTATACCAACCTTAATCATACTCAGTTTTTAAGCCACATATTTTGACAGCATTATGACATTCATAGAACTATTTATAAATACAGTTTTAAGAGACTCTGACATAGTAGCAATAAATGTCAAACAAGTAGAGATGCCAGGCCAAAAGGGAAGAGATGTAAAGAACACAGTACTTGAAGGTTTCAATCCAGATAGCAATTAGCATGTTTGATATAAGGAAATTGATGCAGGGCTTCCTTTCTAAAAAGTGCAAAATGTATTCATAGTTAGGCAAAAAGGTATAACTGTTAGTGTGACGCATGATGCAATTCAGGCAGGTAAACTCGAGTTAGTCACTTAAGTCTCTTTGCATGGTACCACTGTGATCCATGAAACTCCTGCTTGGCTGCTACCTATCCCTGTGGACCCCTAAACTCACTCAGCATCTAACATTCTGCGTTCTGGGTGGTTACGTTTTAGACACTGGGACAAGTACGCTGCTATCTTGGACTATTTGCCCAGCTGCTTTAACCCCCGGAACAACTCTTGAACTAAGCGATGATAACCATTTGGATTTGATCACAATCACCTAAGTTGCATGCAGAGCCTGATCCAATAGGTGGCCACTGAGCACATCTGCTAGATGGAGGCCCATCCATATCTAGCTAGAGGAGGAGTCAATGGCCACTTTTTAATCTTTAGCCCAGTGCTTAAAAAACTTGTTTGGGATGTAAGAGATGCTGGTTCAAATCCCCCTTTTCTTCCAGAGGAGTAAAAAAGATTTGAACAGGATTCCTTCATCTTCTGTTTCTCAAGCAAGGACCCACTGAGCTATGGCATATTCTGAGGTGAGGGTCTTTCAGTTTGATCTGTTGAACCAGTTCCATTTTGGATAAGTAGTTTAAAAGTGATTGGAACTGGGGGACTAAATCCAAGGTCTCCTATCTCCCCTATCTGCATCCTACTGTTCTGTGGGAATAAGTATTTAAATAGCCATTGGACCAGAGAGAGAAAGAGAACGATCCTGTAAGATAGTGATTAGAGCACAATAGAACATCTTCAACAGGAGAGATTGGGGGCTTTCTTCCACTCCGAATATCCCATAGCTCAGCAGCTAGGGTACATCTATAAGAGAAGATCGTCTCTCCAGAGGTCAGTCTTCTAGCATTTGATTTAGCAGATCTAGTATCGATCCCTAAATCAAATACTGAGGGCAGCCCCTGCCAGCATCTGATATTCCTGTGAGGAGTAAGGGAAGCTGATGAGAGCATGTATGCCCATCAGCTTCTTGCTACGTGAGCACTGCCATGGCTCAGCTTAAAGTAAGCCAACTACAGCTACACATTTTGCCTCATTTCAAATCCTGGCTTCTCCCTGTAGCAGAAGTTGAACCCGGCTCGCCCACATCCAACACAGAGGCTACATCTATATTGGCAAGATTTTGCACAAATACTCTTTAATGCAAGAGTTTTTGCGTTAGAGTATTTGAGTAAGAGAGCATCTACACTGGCATGTGCCTTTGCACAAAAGATGTGCTTTTGCACAAGAGCATCCATGCCAGTGTAGACACTCTCTTGGGCCAGAAAACTCTGATGGCCATTTTAAACATCGGGCTTTCTTGCACAAAAATTGATGTTTCCGGTCTACACTGGCCTCTTGCGCAAGAACAGTTGCGCAAGAGGGCTTATCCCTGAGCGGGAACATCAGAGCATATGCGCAAGAAGCACTGATTTTATACATTAGAATGTCAGTGTTCTTGCGCAAGTACTCGTGGCCAGTGTAGACAGGTGGCAAGATTTTGCACAAAAGCGATTGCTTTTGTGCAAAATCTTACCAATATAGATGTGGCCAGAAAGTTTAGCCAGTAGCAGCAGCAGCAACTTTTCCTCTAAGTGGGAGATGCAAGAGCATATGTCATTCCTGAAATAAGTGGTTTAGATGCATAGGACACCTCAGTCCAGGCACCCAGTTCTCATTTTTGGATCACAAGTGGTACGTGCTTCCCTACAGCCTGAGTTTAGGAG